GCAGACACCATTACAAAATTTATCTTAAAAAATAATAATTATTAAAAAAAGAAAGTCACACAAGCAAAGTGGTACTTAATTTTAATTTTCAGTTAGCACCAACTCTAAGGGAAGGAAACTACACTAGACACGGGACTATTCTTAACTTGAAAGATGTCCTTAGGCAATGATAATGGAAGACATACATTTTATGCAAGTGCAAGATGGGTCTCTGGGGATCCAGGACAACATGAACAATCTACCTCTGTGGTTAGGGAGAAGAAATAAATGTTTACAACTGAAAAACAACAGAACTCCAACTCCTGCTTCTGGCGGAGTTCGCTGTGCTCCACAGCACAGCCCGCAGAGCCAGGGCCTCCTCTGGCTGCTGGGTCATGCCCTGCCTCAAACACACCACAGAGAGATGGTGACCCCAAGAACAAGGGGGTCCGAGCCCTGATCCTCCACTGCCTCGGACAACTTGGGCTGCCTGTCCAAACTGCAAGAAACTGAGCTGCCCAAAACTGCAACAAACTCATCAACTTGTGAATTTGACCATCTGCTGCCACAGGAAGACAAATTCTAAATGTGGACAAAGAATCCAAACATCAACCATCGTCTGTAAAGAGTCCTGAATGCCACCGGCAAGGCACTTCATACAGTGAGATTAAGGCACATAAACACGCACACACACACCCCTATATTGCCTACCTAGGGCAGGAAATACTTCCTCTCATCACTTTCCAGACCTGTAAATGCAGAGGAACAAGGAAAAAAAAAAAAAAAACACAGAGAAAGTGTCTGACCTTGCTGCTCTTCAGAGCCTGGCGGGGAAGGAAGGCTGGCAGGGAAGGAAGAATCCCAAGTCCTGCCAGCATGTTCGGTTCACATTCTTTTGAAAAGACTTCAAAGTCTGCACTGTACTTAAAATAAGATAGGAAGTAGCGGGACTAACCTGGAGGAGTTTAGAGGTAGGAGCAGGGGAGGAAACAAACAACAAAACCCTTGATTTTCAAGGTCCTCATTTGCTTTGGGATAAAACAGTTCTCTGTTACTCTGGCCCAGGCTTATCAGATATTCCACCCCACCCACAGCCAACGTAATTGGAATCAGACATCCAAATGCACTGGTTAGCTGCAACCCACGGCGCAGGTCGGGCCGCGTGTTACTGCGGGCGGGCAGGGCCTCGCTCGCTGCTCTGCACGCAGGTCTGCTGCCCCGCGGGACGGGCGCCCAGAGCAGCTCCCGGGCAGCAGCGGCGCCTTCCCGCCCCGCGGGAGCCGCCGCCAGCGCACGGGCCGCGGCCGGCCGGGAAGGACAGGCCTCCAGGCGCAGGGAGCAAGCGGGAAACACACAGCACGCACACCATCCTGCAGGAGCCCGCGGCGCATGAGCCTACGCTGATGTTTTCCCTGCCTCTTTCATGCACTGCTTTGCCCCTAGAAGTATCTACATTTCTATATCAGCAAGCCACATAAATACACTTCCGTGAATAAACAGCTTCTTTATGGACTGAGGCTGTTATGCTTCTGCTCCTAAGTTTTTTTTCTTTTAAATAACAGGTCCCAAGAGGGAAAAAAAAAAAATTATACTTGGAAGTATCTAACGCTCACGCTAAATTCAATAAAGCCTTTCCAGCTTGATGTAGGGAATAGTGTCAGAACCGATAGGCTGAACAGTAACAATTTAAATGACTGTAATCTTCAATATTGAAAACGGAATACCAAACTACTTTTCTCACCACCATAATGTCACTGCTGCTTTTTGAGGATTTTTATGACAGCAGAGCCATATATGATCATATTGAAGAGCTCCTGCCAGCACCAGCAGGTGAGACAGGTTCCCCTCAAGCCGCGGCCGCTGCGAGAGCGCCCGGGTGCATCTGCTCTCCCGGCACTAGGGCCTCGGCAGGCTAAACCCCGGCAGCAAAGTTCCTGAAACAATGGCCGAGTTATCCTAGACTTCCCAAGAAGAGTAGGATTACACAGCACAGCGGAATCTACCGGAGGCATCACATAGGATGTGCTGCTAGGGTCGTAAAAAAAGGAAAAAAAATAATCAGAGAATTGTCTTCTGTTACAACCTGCCCCATCTCGCTCGGGAACCAACCTGCATCACCAGAGAGGTGCCAGACCTGCAGACACAGCCTGAGAAGCCCCAGGGAAAGCGTCTCCCTGGGGCGCTGCTGCAAGGGGACGACTCGCCGAGCACGGAGGGGCGCTCGGGAAGGGAAAAGGCAGAGGCAGAGCAGCGCATGCGAGCAGGACCCCATGCACAGGCCACAGCAGAGCAGCGCATGCGAGCAGGACCCCATGCACAGGCCACAGCAGAGCAGCGCATGCGAGCAGGACACTGTGCACAGGTTGCAGCAGCATGTGCACATGAGCAGGACCCCATGCACAGGCCACAGCAGAGCAGTGCACGTGAGCAGGACCCTGTGCACAGGTTGCAGCAGCATGTGCACATGAGCAGGACCCCATGCACAGGCCACAGCAGAGCAGTGCACGTGAGCAGGACCCTGTGCACAGGTTGCAGCAGCATGTGCACATGAGCAGGACCCCATGCGCTGCTGGACCTGCTGCAAGGAGTCCAGCGTGGCCCCAGTGCCCGCCTGGGGCTGCGTGTGCAGAGGCAGGGAAAGACGAGAAGAGAGGGAAGAGGCTCCACAAGGATATTCCCCAGGGCAGCTGCCACCGGCTAAAAGGAAAAGTTCAATCCAAGTTTTGCTAAACATGCCAGGAAGGAGGAAGGCCTACAAAAAAAAAGAGCTCCACACACCTAAAGGGCCAGAGAGACTTCATTAACCTCCACAGACCCAGGCACTAGGTAGTTAACTGGACCAAAGTGGTGGAGTCACTTTTTGTGCTGATCATTCACTACTCAACTAAAACAAATGAAAAACTCAAGTTCAAAACCTTAATAAATTATGTAATAAAATAATAAATAAAACAGAAAACAAAAAAAAGCCCAGATTATAAAATGCAGGAACTGATATAAAATGTTCTTCATTGCATCTGATTTTCTCCAATTTTGTGTTAAGCTCTTTACAATCTTAAGATTTTTCGAACCGCAAAAACAAACAAAAATGGGTGCGGAGAAAACCCAGCCCCTTAGAAAGCAGCAACAAGGGACGAGCAGGAGAGGAGGGCGGCGAGCACTGCGGAAAGCGCGAGCTCCTGCTCCGAGCGCTCCTGCTCCGAGCGGATCCAACCTACGGGCCAGGATTCGCCCCACACTTGAAAGACGCCTGTTACCAAACGTCCCCCTCCCCTTCCCCCCAGAGCACCACTGGAGGAAAACAAAATCCCCTTTGTAAAAGTGACCTGATTTTGCATTCCTTAACATGAAATTTAACACATTAATATCTGCAGCCCAAAGACATACTCCTTTTTCATTGCTTCAAAGGAAACTCTACGGGACAGTTTCAGAGCTCCGTCACAACATTATAAACTTTTACAAATAACAAAGGTAAAAGTAACTCCAGTAATTGAAGACGATGCAAATAAGTCTTTAAAAAGTGCTGGAAAGGGAGAAAGAAACATCAATAGCATAGCAAGATCATCTCTATTTAAACATGAAACCACTCAAAACTCTGGTAAGTTTAAAAATGTTTCTGAAAGGACGGTATTAATCTAGTCACACAGCCCTGAAGCCCCCAAGCCCCTGCACACTGCAAGCCCTCTGCTTAGCACTACTTCAATAAGTAGTTATTAGATAATGTCCTATCAAAACAAGAGCCCCTAGATACTCAACTAAACTAGCCTGGCTTTGGTTTTTAAAGAAGGCACTAGCACCTCTCCTGCTATATGTCCAGGCTACCCCAACTACACACAGTTCTGTCTTGTGAATGTTTTATACCAGAAAGTGCTGGTTCCATGTGCTATTAAATTGCATGCTTCCATAATGAACTACACACAATAAATTTAAGTTAAATTTGCTCAGGTAATCTCATGCCATCAAAATTTCAACCAATGCTCCCTATTTTCTTGCATCCACAATTTTGCATTTCCCTTTCCACTTCTTTAAAGAACGCAGAAGCAACCCAACATTATCATCATGTATACAACAAATGGTATAAATCAGCAAAATTAAGTTCTTCCAAAAGGCTCTCTAAAATGGAGAGGTGAAAGTCAGTAACAAAAGGCCTTTGGCTTTAAAAAAAAAAAAAAGAAAAGAAAAGAAAAAAAGAATCAGATACAACTCTCTGCCCATTTGGATTTGAAAGCTGATCTGTTGTTTTTGTTAGCACGGTCCTCAAGAGCAACAAGCAGTTCTACTCCATAAACAGGCGCTCCGAAGGAACGGCACCGAGCAGCCCTGCGGAGGCAGCGGGCGCAGGCGCCGCTTGCTCGGCACACGGCTTGAGCGTCTCTGTCCCAGCGTGCAGACTGGCCGCAGCACAGGAGCGCCAGGGAAGGGGAAGGTCACTCATCCAGGCGGCCTGATCGGATGAGGGACTTAAAGCTCACTGTGTCACTGCTCTTGCAGAATACCTTACGGCTCGAGCAGTTCGGAGCTTCCTCGGAGAGCTGCAACCCAAAGCTTGTTAGTCTCCAAACACCTCTGGGGAGTTACGCAAAGACAGCTTGCAAGCAGTGAAGGCAGAGACACACTTCCATCCATCACCAGCACCGAACGGAAAGCTCGGCTCAAAACAAGCCTGAAAGTCTGCACTTAATCCAACTGCTCTTCATAAACACCATGCAAAGCATGTTGCATAAAATCGAGTAACAAATGCAAGTAGCACAGCAACAAACTCCTGCTAGGACTAGAGGAGCCTCTGTGCTTCAGAGGCAGCCGGGGCTGACGGAGCCTCCGCGAGGAGGAGGTTAAACTGGAGACACGCAGCGTCACAGCGAGCAGCTCTCCTGTAGTTTCGCGGCCATGCGCCGATACCCTTAAGACGCCAGGCACTCCGGCTTTAAAAGCCTCCACTGCCAATTCCCTGTTTGAAACCTGAACTGCCTGGCAACAATGATTCTCTGTGTGCCTAAAATCCTATTATCGATCCTCCTACTTACCTTAGGCTGTGCTCGTCGGGGAAATGCAACTTTAGGGTCAATCTGAGGAAAAAGAAAGGGGAAATCAACAAGATAGCTTTTGTTGCTGATTTTTTTTTTTTCCTCAAATCATTGAAATATTAATCCCTCATTTCTCAGGCTCATAGTTCACACACTGGGTCACTCAGGGCTCCTCCGGAGGCCGAGGAGCGCGGCTGGGAGCTGGGCAGGGGGCAGGTCGCAGCAGCTATGGGGCTGCGTGTCCGTGGTGCGCACGGAGCTCTGCGCAGCTCTGGGTCACACTGGGGCACGACGTGAAGCACTGCCGAGCGGGATCCTCACCTGCTGCTCCCGGCACCTGCGCCGCCAGCTGCGGCACCCTGCTTTTGGTTTAGTTTCCTATTTTGTTTTTCTACTTTTGTTTCATCAACTCTGAGTAGCAGCATTACACAAAAAAAAAAAGAATTTCAGGACACTGAAGCCAAATTATTTACATTTCAAGTAATTACTAAAGCTACACAGTTAGAAGGACTACAAGATTATCCTCCATAATAACATCCCTAATTGATCTGGGGTACAAGATCCTCTGAAAGAACTCAGGTGACCAAGAATTATTATGAAAAGGTTGTGGTGGAGGAAGAGGGCGAGAGCAATATGCAGAAAACACACAGGTATTTTAAACCAGAAGAAAATGAGGTCTTAAAAGGATCTTCTGTCCCCTACGGTGTACCTGAAGTACACACCACAGAGACAACAAGGAAGAAACCCACTCTGTTGTGCCCCTTATTGTAAGCTGCTTCCGACTTCTGCCCCTGCACAAATCAAAGCGTGTCCACTCTGCAATCCAAAATGCTAATTTTGCAGCTTTAGAAACAACTTCCACGTGCATCATGTTAAAAAAAAAAAAAGGTGCTTTCTGTGATTCAAAAAAAAACTTAAAAAGAAAAAAAAGACACCAGCAGAGGTGAACAGCTAGATATAAAAATAAATCATAGCTTATAAAAAAAAGCCCATCTTCATTTGTCATCATTATAAAGATTGTAATAAAAAGTGTCCCCATGCTAATGACTTCACCTTTAATTTTCAGCAGCACTTGCACAGATATGTTCTGAGTAAAAAGTCTAGAAGGGAATGTTTTAAAGTGCTAAATTCTATCATAACTGTGGAAGTTGCAACTGTTTGCAGCGCCGTCTCTAACTATTGACCTTGTTATGGAATATCCAGCAGTAGAGGCCTTCAAAAATAGCTTGGGTTTCTGTGTTGGTGGTGGTTTTTCCCCCTCGAGATAACCCTGATTAGGAAAAGGAGATGTTTCCATCTGGTACCGTTACTCCTGTGGTGATGTCACTGATAGACAACCAGGAGACAAGCCTGAACCAGCAGTTTTAGTCAATTGATAGATCAGAATTGCACAGAGCACAATCTTCTGACGTGCAACTGAAATTAATTTGTCAACATTAGGCATAAAGGTAGTATTTTGGGGATTTCCTGAGAAATGAGTGATTACATGACACTTCATTGTTCAGAAAGCATAAAAAGTCAAATTCGTTTTCTAGAAAGCTAACCTTCTCATAGAGATTAACATTATCTACAATATATTCAGCACTGTCTAGACATTTGTCTACCAGGGAAATACAACAAGTATGGATCTTCCATTGAGATATCCAAAGATACTAGCAAATATGCTCATTTCTATATTTGCTTCCAAAGTGAAGGTTTTCTCAATAAAGCAGAATAAACTCCAGTGCCACCAGAACGATGGTACTGCAAAAATCCACTAACAAAAACTTGGGGGTGGCTTTTAAATTTACAGCAAAATACCTTCGTATTTGAAGGTCAGTTCAAAGACCATGGGGCCCTTTGCATCACAACAGCAGCACTTCTAAATCAGCTGGATTTTCCCTCACAAAACCTCACAAGTAAACATCATCCGCATTGTTAATAGGAGCACAAGCAATCAGCATGGCAGATCCATACCTTTTGCATATCCCTGTCAACTATTCAAATAAAAAAAAAAAAATCTACAAAAAAAGAGTTAGTTAGGTACAATTCTACTTACTGTATCTACAAGTCCTCTAGAAAATGACTATAATACTATGTCTGATATGAATGGCCATTACCTAAACAAAGCTTTTAAGGTAACTGTAAACAAGAGCGACGTTTCCATGCCAATACCCAACCGATCTGCCTCCTGCGCTGAACGTTGAAACAGAGTCAAATGCTATGTTACACTAGAGAACAGTTACTGCAACACGTCTACACATACAGGGCTGAAAGGGCACCTGGGCAGTTTTATATTTTACTTTTAAGCTGTATGACTAATTCTAAGGTTGATTTCCTTTTCATTGATTCAACCATTATCACATCATCAAAATTGAAGTAAATTTGCCCTGGTCCAGCTTTTCACCTTTTCCCCTGTAAAGGCCAAATGAATACATTGCAAGGACCAAACTGTGATTTGGGACAAAAAATAAAAAAAAGAATAAAAATAAAAAAAAAAAAAACCCACGAAAGAAAACAAAGCAAAACAAAATGCTGGGAGAGGCTCACATTTTTCCCATAAATACGACTGGGTGTCCTCTTATGATTTTTTTTAACTCTCATTCAAAATACTGTTTGCCTTTGTTCCTCTTATCTAAATTTATCTTTAAAAACACATAGAGAATATAGCTGTACAGGAAAAGTCTGGTGAGTTTAATCTCAGGAGCACAGCTGAATCAGTTATCTTACCATATCTGATTAAACCTAAAATCAAATTATTAAGGAATGTGAAAGCAAGGGCTACGTGTTCAGGCAAACCCAGCAGAATTCGTAGGTCGAATCAGAACACTAGATTCCACCTGCTTCTACAAAGGCTTGGGGCTTTTTTGTCTCCACATAAATTGCGTGTGGAATTGTACACTCCTGTTTGCTTCCTGCCTCTCCTACCCTCCATTTAACTCTGTCCACCTCGGACACACAGGACGGAGCAGCGCTCGGAGAGGATTCCTCACGACGCCCCGCTCACGTCAAAACAAAGCGTTGAGGCTCCAGAACGCCCGGGAGAAAGCCAGTCCCGGTGACAAAGACGCTGGAGAGGGGCAGCAGCAGCCCCGAGCCCGGCGGCTGCACCCGCACGCTCCTTCCCTTCCCCAAGGCGACCCCTCCTGCGGCCGCGCGCTTCCCAACGGGAATGACCTCTACCCGTGTCCTTCCCCCTCCGCCAGGTTGGCTCAGGCTTAAGAGCGAGACCAAGCGAGGCACAGGCACAAACTTCATCCCCGGCACGGCCCTGCGGGCCGCCCAGCGCAGGCCCCGCCGCTGCCCCTGCTATTGTGCGAGCCAGGGCTGCACGCGCGGGACCGCGGCCGGGTCCCCTCGCACGGCAAATGAGCCCAGAAACGATCGAGCGAGCACAGCGTTCATCAAAAACGGACCCGCCGAACCTCTCTGCCGTTGCTCCATCACGGACATGAGCCCGAGCGCAGCACAGGGCTCTGCGAAGGGGCCGGCGCGGCCGTGCGCGGGAGCTCCGGGCAGCGCCGCTCGCATCGCGGCCGAGGGCGACCGCGCTGCTCGAACGCGGCCCCTCCGGCACCCCGGCCGAGCGCGTCGTGGCAGAAATAAAAAATAGGTGGCTGCAGGAGGGGACACTGGAGGAGGGCCTGGGGACTTGACATCAGGTCACCGCTACCTCAAAGCACACGTTAAAAATAAAGAAGAAAAAAAAAGACAGCCAGGAGTTCCCTGTGGAAGGTGATCTGCAGGGTAAGGCCAAGAAAGTTTGGGTTTACTCTACAGTTTTTTCAATGTCACTGCTCAATAAAATATAAAGGGAGGGGAGGAGCCATGGCTGGATATGGGTAAATCGGGATAAAAAGGGGGAAAAAAATCAGGAAAAAAAAGTTAGAGCGCTCTATAAATCAAAAGTGAACTCCGGGATGGGGTAAAAGCTGAAATAAAGGCAGGCGGCGGCGCGCGGGGCAGCGCGGGACGGCACCTACCGTCTTGGAGTCGAGCTCGTGGTGCGGCTGGGCCAGGACCTTGTCCACGCTGGCCGGGTCGGCGAAGGTGACGAAGCCGAAGCCTCTGCGCGGGCAGACAAAAGGCGGGGGTTGGGGGGCTGCGGGGCGCGGCGCGGGGCGCGCGGCGCGGCGCTCACCTGGAGCGCTTCGTGCTGGGGTCCCGCATGACCATGCACTCGCGGATCTCGCCGAATTTGCTGAAGTAGTCGCGCAGGCTGTCTGCGGAGAGAGGGGCGAGGCAGCGGCGCCCGGCGCGCGCGGCGCGCGCCCGCGCGGCCCTTACCTGGGGAGGTCTGCCAGCTGAGGCCGCCGATGAACATCTTGCTGCGGGGGGAGAGCGGAGCGGAGCTCAGCGCCGCCGCATCGGCCATTTTGACGGGGCACTCACGGCGGCGCGGAGCGGCGGGAGGGAGGGGGGGAGC